TCATTATAGGAATTATTATTGTTTTAACTCAGAGACTTTGTGTTTTTAAATGAATAGGAGGTCGATGACCTGGTCTCTGGATGTAATGGGACATCTGTCCATTTGTCCATCTGTCCATCTGTCCAGTCTTCATGTCCAGGTTCAGGATCTTAGCTGAAGGTCGTGATGAAGGTGGCTGTGAGGATAAGCTCAGACGTCCCAGGAGTGATGATGATGATGATGATGAGGAGGAGGGTTACGGAGACGAGGAGCCGCTCTTGGATGAAGATGGAGACCTGGACGTGGCTCATCGGTGAGTGATGGAGTAACTCTGCAGACATCGGAGCGTCTGTGACTGAAGCAGACGACCCACAGCTGGACGCTTTCTTAGCGACGCCAAAAGTTTTACACCAAAAACTTTAATCATTAATCAGGATTTTAGGAGCTTCATTAATAAATTCTTCCAATGTATAAAAAGAGGAAATATTTGCACTGAATCTCCTCAGAGAGCAGAAGGAGACGGACGGATGTTCCTGCTGTTTCTTTCAAACCTGAGAACAGAATAAAGATGATGTCAAAGCGTAGAAATGAGCAGACGATGCGGTTAGAAACCAGGAACCTTCAGGGAAACGTTCCTGAACCGTTGAACCAACATGGCGAAGCTTTCATCTCATCCTTTCTCTGCTTCTCATCGCTGCATCCTCGCCGGGTCTGTCTGAGCGCGACCACGGCGGCGTGCAGCTCAGAGGAACGGCCTCATGGGGCTGTGACATCACAGAGCTGCGGCTCGCTTTGATCCATCAGGACGTCTGGAGTCCTAGACGCCATCAAACTGTCTGATCGCCATCCAGTGGGACTTTTCTCTAAAGATGAAGGGCAGCCTGGTCCAGCGGTCCCTTTAGAACTCAGTAGAAGGTGGTGATGAAGGCGGAGCTTAGCTTTAGAGTCACTCTGTCCTCATCTTACTGGACTGAAGCTGGAAAACTGTCCTTCAGTCGTTGAATCTGACTTGTTTCTTCTCTCTGATCCTGCAGACCTAGAAAGGACTCGGTGGACGATGGCGGCAGAGACCTGGTCTGTCCCGTCATCCTCCAACAGTCTGACCCGGAGCAGCACGACGAAGACGACGAAGACGACGGAGACGATGAAGACGCTCATTTTTCCAAAGACATCATCAGGATCGGTAAGAATCCAAACTCTTCTGATTTTTCAGGGTTCTTTGATATTAAACATGATTATTTAAAAACAGAAGGAAAAAAACTTTCCATTCTCTAAACTCAGTGAAGTCTGAACATTTCAGAGTTAAATTAGATTTTAAAATGTTTCAACGGTCCAAACTTTCTCATCTTGGTGTAACATGTCTTTAGCTGTTTCTCTGGAAACTAACAGGAAGATGTGAGACAGAAGGCGACGCTTTAGCTGCTTTTTCCGTGGTTGATGCTCTTATTTTGAAGTTAGACAGGAAGTAGTTCCCATTTAGTATCTTTATGGCTGAATCCCAAACTGCCAGTCGTTACCATGGCAACACAGTAACGCCCCGTGCACGTGGCTGTAGCTCTGTGGTGCAGTTTAACATGACATTAAATATTTGCCTTTTTCTTAAAACAAATGTATACGATCAAACTATGTGAAAGAGGAGCTTCCCTTCTGGGAATTAGTAAAGTTTTTCATAAACTGATTTTCTGTTAGTGTGACGAAGATGCAGGCGCCGTTAGACCTGCTGCAGACTGTCTGTTGAAGCGCTGAACGGTCCACTGGCCCCACCCACTGCGTGGTTAGGGACGGCCCTTAATGTGGCGGAGGCTCCACAGGACCGTGCGAGGGGAGGGTTGGCGCTCAGGGTTAATGTTTAGGGGAGCGGTTTGGGATTGAGCCGAGGTGAAGAAAATGTTAGAAAACTGAAGAACGGCCGACATTTAAATCCACCTGCTAACTGTTAGCTGGTAGAAACATTCACTGCTTTTATCACTTTAATCTGATCATTTCCAGTCCAGAGGTCCGTTTCATGAGGTTTGCTAACCCTGAAATCAGGGACACTCCAAGTTTTCCCTTTAACAAAGAGAGTTTCCTCATCCTCTGTTTCTGTTGCCATAGTAACATCCTCCCCAGCGCTACGCTGATCATTACTTCATCACTCAATGATAAAAACCTACTGGTTCAATCTGAAGCCATTCTATGGGACTGGTAGCCGCTTTACTGGGACCATTACATCCAGAGAAGCTGCAAACAGACATGAAGGGAGATTTGTTTCTTTATCATTCAATCAAAAAAAGTTTTCTTCAATCATAAAATATATTTTCAATAAAAAAAAAAATTAACTTCAATCAAAGAAAAAAGTATTTGAATACAAGAATATATTTGAGACTCAAAAAAATACATTTGAACACTGCTTTGCTTTGAAAATGTTTTATTTGATAGAAGTCTTTTTTAATTAAAGCAACTTTTTAATTGAAGTAAGATTGTTTTTGATTGGACCATATAATAGGAAGGACATTTGTGTCTTTATTATTCAATTAAAAAAGAAGTTACTTCAAACAAACAACAGAATCAATAAAAAAGTAACTTAAATGAAAAGATAAACGTTTTTAATCATAGAAAACAGTTTTTTAATGCAGATAAAATATTTGAGACTTTTTTCTATTATTGAAAATGTTCTCTTTGGTTGAAGGGATCTATTTAGTGTTTGGGCCAAACATGGGCAGGACATCTGAGTCTTAATCATTCAATTCCATAAAAGTTGATAAAAAAAAAAAAAAAATTCAATCAAAGAAGAAACTGTGCAAATGCAAAAAAAAAAGTAATTTATTATGATGATATTGAGGAAAACAGAGACTGGTTGGTCGTCTAGACATGAGAGGAAACCCCTTTGATCAGGAGGGAACCTCCATCTTTCTGTTTAACTATGGGGGGGGGGGGGGGTGTCATAATGAAGTTCTCCTAATTTGCTGCTGGATGTTCTCTGATGTTCCTCATTTTCATCGCCTTCATTTCAGCATCACTTCTTTTCCTTTCCAGAGCACACCATGGCTACACCACTAGAGGATGTTGGCAAACAGGTGAGTCCATGCTTTCCCGCCTTGATATAGAGTGTGTGTGTGTGTGTGTGGGGGGGGTCTGATGTAGAGCTGATTAAACACTGAGCTAACTGCGATAGATGGAGCTGCTCCTTGGTTATTATGATGCTGATTCCACTCTATCAAGAACAGACGTCATTAAACATACAGAATAAAAACACCATAGAGGCTGTAGGCAGGAGAGGAAGATGCTGAACTGGTTGAATGATTCAGTTCATTGGTTCTGTCCAGACGTCCATCTGTCTGATCGTCCTCCTGGGATCTTCTTCCTCTCTGATCTTCTTCTGCTGGTTTT